ACAAATCTAGTAATAGAGCGTCGCAAAATTTGCGATAGATTTTTTTCGTAAAGGATGCTGTAAAGCACCCGTGAAGGGCAATAATCTTCCCCGCATGCACATTTTTCACACAAGAACAAAACTATGAAAAACAAAAAAATAAAACGCGACTACATCAGGCAACAAGATGGCTCAACCCATCGGCCGCGGGCACGCCCACGACTGTGGGAGCGCCGCCGCCGGTCCCGAGATTACACTACTTGAAGGTTCAGGGTACTTATAACCCTAATTATAGCTGTACTTAGAAGCCCCCTAAGTCCCCTAACTAGGTTATATGTAGACTTATCACTGTGGCTATAAGTACCCATGAACCTCCAAGTCGACTCGGGACCAAAGGCAGGAAAGCTTCCATGGCAAGCGGGCAGGCGAGCAGCAAACTGCAAAGCTCCGAGAATCTGACACCACTCCACGAAGTGTAGACACCCTCAAAAACGCTACTGCATTGTTGAAGCCCCAATTGGAAAACACAAGCTTTGGAGGTCTGGACATGTGTTCTTGGATCCCTGGTCGTGTGAAGTTTTCGTCCCCATATAGGCCTTGGAGGGGTGCCTTCCAGATTCCAGCGACATGTGCAAGGCCGCAAGATGATACAAAGCTTTCTGCACCAGAGAAAACGCAAGCACAGTCATTAAACTCGTGGCAACAACATTGTATGAATGCTGCTGTTTTGCTAGGCATAGAGTACTCTCAAAGTCCGCAGTGCGATACTAGTACCAACATAGAACTTAGACATTCTGGGACACATGGGGAGATGTACCTGCGTTGAAGCCGAAGTCCGAGAAGTGTAATCTTACAAACCTCAGGTTTAGGGTTTATGTGGTCGAAGCCCTACAGCCGAGGCTGGAAAGCCCTAAACTGCAAAGCCCTAAGCAAGGGTCAAGCATTAAAGGCCTAACAACACTCACTCAGACCTCAAGTTAGGCGCTTTGATGTCCGAGGCGAGGCTGACATGTCCTGCAGAGTTTGCGAGAATGGGCAGATGCAGAGATGACAGCACATTAGTCTAAGCCGTAAATGAGTATCTGGTCTCTATGGTTGCTTGAGCTATGTGCCGTGGGAGTTCTTGCAGGGAGTCTGGACGTTACCTAAACCATAAATCATCCTAACCCCCCCCCCCCTCCCCCCCCCAAAAAAAGACTAGCCTAAAAACAGAAACCTAACGCCAAGAACTCTACAAACCCTATCTGTCCAGGGGGCATCAGCCCACTTGAGGCCCGAGCTTGTAGCCGGGCTTTCAAGTGGCAGCTTCCCTTGTGCCATGGCCGCCGCGGCATCTCCCAGCGAGGTGGGCAAGTGCCCAGGTGGCCCTCAAAAGGGCCCCGAAGACCCTAAGCCCTAAACCAAAAGCCTTATAAAAAGCCCTTGATCCTATGAGCCCCTAAACCCTAAACCCCCTAAGCCCTAAACCCTAGGCTCTAAACCTAAACCCTATGAGCCCTAGTTTCAGCCTCGCATAAACTCTTGGAAACTTCCGGTTCTTCAGGACTTTAAGGGTTCAAAGGGAACTTATGTCGGCTTTGAGGACTGTAGCGGGCTTTCTTGAAAGGAACTTATGGGGGTTAAAAGTTCCCGATGGCTACGTGCCCAACAACAAGGGAAGAGTTGGCGAAAGAAGAGGTAAACACCTAGAGGCTTCGGGTTTCAGAAAGGTTTAGGGTTTTTAGTTTTTTTGGAATTTTTCCTTTATCTTGGTCACATGAAATCTACGTTGTGCGGCTGAAAGCTGAAGTCTTCAGGGCTTCAGACTTACATTTTCGTGTCAGCGTTGAGCTTTCGAGGCGAGGGTATCGGATTTCACTTTGAAGCCTGTCGGCTTTAGGGTAGAAAACCCATGTCAAGGCCGTCAGGGTTCCTTGGTGTGGTTCTCAGGGTTCCGGGTTGACCTCATGGCTCATCAGGAGCTGCTCACAAGCCACTCGATGCTGCGGTCCCCCCCCCCAAATTCTTCAGTTGTCCAACAGCAGTCATACCTTGATCCCCATGTACTCAAAGCAGTTACCAAGCCCTGAGGCCTAAGCCGTTCTTCCCACGCGAAGTATAGGCCACAATGGACTGTTAGAGCAACAGTGCCGCGCGCGACATCCCGTCACCAGCCAGGCCATTCTGTATGACAACGTGAAGGTTGGAGGGGTTGAGAGCACAGCCCAGAGCCACAAATCCCTAAACCCTTCCAGGCCAGAACCCCCAAACCTGTCAGGATCGGGTCTCCAAATGGTCCCACAGTAACAGGTCACATAGGACCAGAATCCTCGACCCTAAAGTTTAAACCAAAACCCGAAGCCTTCTACACCAAGCTCTCCAGTGATGCCTCGTCGACTAATGTAAAGATGACTCTGGCCCTTCGCAGCTTCTTCTCGAGTCGAAGATGGATCAACCCTGGAGCCTAAACCCAAAAGCCAACAAAGGGCCAGACCCTAAGCCCTAAACCCTGAATGGCCCTTAATGATGGGCTTTTTTTCGGGTATCCTCAATACTCAGAATCTACGAGCAAGGCCGAGTTTCGGAGAAAAGAGAAGTGACAAGATCGGCCTTCAGCAAAAATGCTACCTGGAGGGGGTGGGGGTGGGAGGTCTGAATCATGACCCCGAGTTGGGGGCGCAGCAACCCAAACCCTCCAAGCTGTAAATTCAAAATAGGGTTTAGCGTTTAGGGTTACATTCCGTACTTAGGGGGGATTGGGGTAGTTGGGACGTGGCCTTCCAGGCTGGCGTCAAGCAGAAGGTTGGAGAGCGCAAGGACTGCAGCGATTTCGGCGTCATGGGAGAGGGTTCAGGGTGTAGGGTTTAGGGTTTAGGGTTTAGGGTTTAGGGTTTAGGGTTCAGGGTGTAGGGTTTAGAGGTTCATGTTTAGGGTTTAAGGGCCAGGACCGAGGGTTGCAAGCTTTTAGGAGTTTAGGGCTGAAGGATGTTGCCAAGCTTTTAGGGGTTTGGGGTTCAGGCGGGTTTAGGGTTTAGGGTCAAGGTCCCTATAGATCCCCAAAAGTTAGGATCCTCCTAATCATAAGGACCCTGACGGTGAACAGTATGGTCCCGTCTCGGAGAGGGGAGAGGGGACCATACTTTGTGAGCTTAGGGTTCAGGGGGCCGTTTTTGTTTTCCATGGGGTCCATGCCCTTCCCCTGTGCTGATGTCCAATCGACAGAACCCCCCCCCCCCCAGAAGAAAAAAGGTACCTCAATCCGCATGTCAGGCCCTTTGGGCGCTTGCTCGGGGCGAGGCTCAGCATTTCATGGCCTGGGCCTCGACTGGGCGGTTTAGGGGTCGACTCCGCAAATCCTGGGGGCAAAAAAGTACCTACCCGAGGGCATGCCCGTGTTCTCTTCTAGCTGAGCTGCAAAGGAATGAGGCCTACAGCAGGGCAATCTAACTTCTCAGACTTTATCCACGCCTGTTGAAGGTGGGGCACTGCGATTAGAGTCGGTTCGGAGATGAGAAAAAAATATATATATATTGTTTTGTAGTATATAATTTCCTCAACCCTATACGCCCGAAGTCCCCAAGCTGTGACGTATTGTGCTTTGGTTTGCAGCCTCGAAATCTTGGAAGCACGTTGCAGGTGCAGAGTGGCAGAGCAACTGTAAGAGATGCACTCATGCGCACTCCTCCATTCCCGACGTAGCAGCGCCAACAGCTAGCAGTGAGGACCTACCCTTCCTGGCAGCCGTGGTGGTTCGGCGACTTGGATGCTACAGGTCATTCGGGGCATGCCAGCTGAGTCCTGAGACTCTGAGTCGTGAGACTCGTGAGCTGGGGCCTTGACAAGGCCTGGGCAGTATGTCACAGTATCTCTCTTAAGATGCCTGGACCATCCCCCAAAACCCGTGCATCCATCGGCGAACGGCACTTACGCGCTGAGCTGTGCATCAGTCCCTACAGCGCAGTCCCGCATCCTTCTTGCAGGCATTGCAGGCATTGCAGTGCGCTGTTTGCGTCTGCTGCGCATCAACATGGTCAGAGCTACCGGAGCTCTGCCACAACAGAAAGGACAATCACAGATGTGACGCAAGAGGCCCGAAGATGCTATGTCGCATGCTCTCTGCGTTCGCTAGGGCGAACGTCAGTTCCAAGCACAGCCATAAGACGCGCATCAGCTCAGAAATGCCCGTGCCAGTCCACCACATTGGCGTTCTGCAGCATGTGCTGGGTCTGCAGGCTGATGGCCAAAGGGCTGAACACTCGCAGAAGCAGACCCCTGGAAACCCTAACACACCGGGCTTGATCCAGGGTCACAGCGAACGCACAGGAAGTGCCAAGTAGCATCCACTTCGAGTTTTGATTCCCAGCGGCGACGTTCCTTACAGTCCGCGCTGGTAGTAGTAGCTGGTACCTGGTAGGATTCTGGAGGCATCCCCCTTTGCAGTTGGAAGGTCGTCAGATGAACTCAGACATGAAGCTGCCCCAGTCACCAGTCCGCAGGCGGTTTTTCTACGGCAAAAAAGCCCCTGTGAGCCAAAGCCGCTGGCATTGACTCAGACTTTTGTTTGGCTTCTTGTATTCAGATGCTTCTTCCTGGTGCGGTGCGTTTCTTCACTACAGCCCCAGACTGAGTCATAGCCTGCAGCAGCTTACTCCTTCGCTTCCCTCCTTCGACCCTCACGCCCACATGTGCCATCACATGTGCCCACATCATTGGCACCGCGCTCCCTGGCTGCAGGTTTCTCAGCGCCGGGATCGCGAAGCTGCCATCCGAGTTTCGTGGGTGTATTCCACTGGCTGCAGCAGATTTCAGAAAGTAGAGAACGAGAGCCAAGGGGTCCACAAAACAGGTTAACGCCTGAGAGGTGCTTAGGACTGCTTTGACTCGCCCTTCGCCCTGCATTGAGCCTACACACACAAGGTCCCAGCCAAGCCAGGAGCGGGCGCCCACAGGTCTCAATCGTCTCAATCGTCTCAGCCGTCTCAGCCGTCAGCCCACTTAGCCGCGACAGCCCACGACAGCTCGAGCTCGACAACAGAAGTCTGATGACCCCACCGCCTTCACCGAGCCCTCAGCTCCCGAGCCCAGTGCAGCGGAATCTGCGGGTGCATGGCCCAGACATCCCAGACATCCCAGAGGCTCCCTGCACCCCGCCCTGCACCCCGCGTACCCCACGGCATACCCCACGCCAGACGAAGCAGGTTCTGTGGGTAGAGCTGTCACCGGAGAAAGATCCGACAGAGTGGAAGGATAAGATGGAGGACTGGGCACAGGACTGGTGTATCCCACACCCTTACCCCTCTTGTCCTCCTTGTCCCCTTTGCCCCTTGCGTGAGCATGGAGCCAGCATGGACGACATGTTTGACGTGGATCAGCTCTTGGATCTCATGGAACTTCCAGGCTCACAAGGCCTAGACATAAGTAGCTGCTTCCCAAACAAGCCGCCTTTGCTCGCGCCGTGGCTCGAGAGATGCCCGCCACCGCCACTTGGGCCACTTCCTGCCCTGTCAACTGAGTCGCACTCTCCGTGAGCCGCGGTGAATCGCCCAAGGCGATGAAATGCCAAGGTAGGAGCTGATGACGGCCCCCCTTGGTTAGAGCATGCCAGCATGGTCTGATGTGCGAGCTGAAATTGTAAGTAATGCACATGCAGTGAGGTCTTGTCCGGTATGTTCGGTGAGAGTCTGAAGCGAACGCAGAGCTGACTTGCATATCTTGGACCAGAGAGGTCTTTCGGTAGGCGACAGGCCAGGTTGGTTCTTCAGTTTCCTGGACTCTAGGCGTTCCGTTCCATGTCGTACTCAGGGCTTTGGGAGCTCAAGCCCCCTTAAAGCGTCCCTTCCACAATTTTCACAGAGCAGAGTGAGCATGTCCATGCATGTCAGAGCAGAGAGGAGCAGGGAGGAGCAGGGAGCATCGAGAGTCTTCTGGATCTTCCAGAAGCAACGAGTGCCTCAATGACCTCAATGACCAGGGCTCCGCCCTCAACCTTCAAAAGCCTCGTCTCCCCGTGAGGCTTCCGGCTTCCACTGATGAAGTGTCCTTGTGACGGGAGCACGTCCAGACATGACTGCTCTATCACCTTCTCTATCACCTTCTCTATCGAGAGCGTGGAGTGACTTTAGCACTCCCGTCACGCCGCGCTTCAGCTTCAAACGGGCCTTCTTCTTTGAAGAGAGTCGTTCATTCACAGACTCTTAAAAGTAGCAAATTGCCGGGCAACTCTGTCCAGACCACTGGGTCCCATCGGTGGCTGATGTTACTGATGTTACTTATGCCCCAGGCAGCTAAAGTTCAGCTGAAGTTCAGCAGCTAAAGCTTGCACATGCGGGTAGCCTACGAGGACGAACGGACAGGAGCTCAGGCTTTGTGTTGACTAGCTGTGCCTACCATGATGCGACCTTCGCTGTCGGCGAAGTGAGAAGGTGTGCATTACAGCGGAACAGCCTTGCCACCTTTGCATAGCCCTCGTTCCAAAGAACCACCGCAAGGAACTTTGTTGCTTGGGGGCTGGTACATGCAAGTTCCCTTACAAGTGTGTCATCGCAGCATTGGTCGAACTACTCTGTGGGATGCCGGGCCAACACAGCAGAGTAGGCATCGTCGCGAAGCTGAGCCAAGTTGCCAGATGCCACTTCACATCAGTTTGCTACACATTGCTCCCGTTTTGGTCCTTCTTCTCTGGTGCGCCCTAAGCCGCTCTAAGCCATGGCGTTTCCACGGCAAGGCTCTGAGAAAAAGAATCCCTACTAGAGGCCGTCGAGTGGATCTCTTTGTCCCCAAGTTTTTAGGTCGCTAAGACTACGGGCCAGCAGATCCCGAGCGCCACATCTTTCGCGCATTTCCAGTGCCGGTGCAAAAAGCTGCAGGAAGTTGCCAACATTTGTCATCCTTGATCTCTACACAGAACGCTGGCAAGCACCGTAGATCCGAAACTCCACGATCACCCCTTTCAGAAAACGCCTAACGGCCCGCCCCCTCCAAAGGCATAGCGCACCCCCAAGCACAACCCACCATGCTGTTCTTCGACTGGAGGATTCTCGTTCGAGAAGCCAAAGCATGTTTTCTAGTGCCCTCGATGCCGGTACTGGTGCCATGAGCTAAGGCGTGCCGCCCAACAAAAGGCGTAACAAAACCCCCGTGCCCTTTGGGGAAGGCCTTTAAGGCTGGGGGAGACTCAACTTAGAGCTTGTTGTGGCGCGCCGAAAGCACGTGCCCTTCCTGTCTGACACATTCGCCAGTTTGTGTCGCAGCAGGTTGGATGCACAAACGAAAGAACCTTCGGAGCCCGGGGAGGCGGGGTTGAGAGGTGCAGGTTGAGAGGTGCAGGTTGGACACGCAGAGGCCAGATTTGAAGGTTGAGGGTGCGCCTGCTGAAACACGTTCATGGAAGAGGGTCTCGGTCGCACTGACCGCCGCGGATCAAATCCATCCCTCCGCAATTCGCCCGACACTTACCTGCATTGGCGGGACTTCCATTGCCCAGGCCACAGGCACATGCAAGCACGCACAAAACTTCGCATTCCTGACTGCTTGCCTCGAACC